CTCTTGCCTTCTATTCTAATTTTTAACATTGTTAGCAAAATGGACTTACGATGATTCCATATTTTTGTAGCTGGGTGGTTGTCTTACCATGCGGTTCCCGTAATCTCAGAAAGCCTTTCAAGTTGGAGCTTGCTATATATTCAGCTGTCCAGGTAAGTCTCCTATCTAATTAATGTATAAGTTGGGAACTTAAAACTGTTAGATTTTTTGAAGGACTTGGGTAATCCACGTGTTTCTGCTTTGTTTTAGACTTATATAGAGAAGTATTTACTAATGTACTACCTTTTGTAATACTTGATTGACAAACGACATTCATATAGTTGGCTCCACGTGTTAAGCAATGAGCTGAATTCAGATTTTTACCCCTTGGTGATAGTCCTGGATGGTTTCTTTCTTTGGAACGTCTCTCAAAAACTCAAGTCTTTAGATTCTTGCTTTTGCTGGTCGATTTCATTCTTCCCTACCTTTGGGTTCTATTTGGTTAGAAAAGACAAGATCAGACTGTGTTGCATGTATTCTTTCCTGATTGTTGCTCATATCATATGCTTTCCTAATGGGGCCAGGGAAACTAATTCGTTTTTTGAAAAGTCATATGCTTCATGCTACTAACTTACATAGTGTTATATCTTGAGCAGGATGCTCAGCCCCGCACAATAGTTGCACTGTGGAAGGCCAATATGGAAGAACCAAATTTCAGCCTGCCTGATCCAGCAGTTATCATATCCGATATTTCAAACAGTAATTTCCTACGCTCTTTAACCAGAGTTCTTATAGCTGCCATGAAATATTTCCATTTGAAGATGATTATTTGTTAATTTTCATGCATAGTCCCGAGGCGCTGGAGGCGAAGGCGAGGGATAATGCCCTCCCAAGGGATAAGGAATAGACCCCGAGGAGCTAGGCGTAAGTACATTGTATTCTGATCTAGTAAAAGTCCCCCCAGAAGAATGGGGGTGACGGAATTTATAACGAGGGAAAGAGCTATGCAATTTTTATGAACTTTTATAGTCACAATAAGGCAGTTCTAATACTTAAATGGACCGGTAACACAGTGCTGTATGCACAGTATGTGTTAGTGTCTATTCATAGTATTCTTCCATGGAAAGGATATATATGGGGCTTGAAAACTAGTTATTGGACCATGCCACGATTTGCCGAGAGCTGGTTCAAGTCAGTTAAGAAGTTTTTCTGGCTGTTCTAATCAATTGCTAAGATCGTTCTCTCCTCTAAGCCTGTGCTTGACATTTAGGCTTTTAAATCTTATGGTCAAATTTACTCCACCAAGTGTCTGAAATGATAAAGCTTTTGCATCTTATTCTCATACTGAATTACTTACACATTTAAGCATCGGAGATCCGTATTGCGTGTTGCTTGTGCTATCGTCTTCACCTCAGAATTAAAAACATTGTTAATAAACTTAAGTTCTTAGCCAAAATTGTCCCTTATGTTTATGGCAGGTCTATTTTCATTTTTTAAATATACACCTGAGCTCATTTCATCCAAAGTTCACTAAAGTTATGCATATTTAATCCAACTAGCGGAATAATACTAACTGGCCCACAGAACTAATGGTGAAACCATGTGCCACTCAAATGAGCATGGTTAAAAAGAGAGGCCATCCTGAGTTTTCTTTCCAAATCCTAATCTCCCTTAATTCTGCACCCTTTATGGTGGCACGTGAGTGGCACGAGGTTTCATCATCAGTTGTTAGTTTTAAGGGCCAGTTAGTATCAATATGTTGGTTAGGCCAAATATGCTCAGCTTTAGCAAACTTAAAGATTGTTAAGTGTTCAGATGTTATTTAAATGATGAAAATAGACCTGCCCATGCATAAGGGAAACTATTGGGTTGAAACTCTCAGAAACTGCATCTGCTAGTTTAAAGATTTGAAATAATTGTTCCATTTTGTAGAAATAAATATTAGCTTTGGGGGGCCAGGACAGAGTAATTATCTGCCTATCGCATGATTCTGTTGTTTAAGTCATTATTTGCATTATGCAACTTTATTACTGAATCATTTTCCCCATTTTCAAAATGTTTATTGCAGAAACAAGGATTAAACTAACATCTGTCCAGGAAAGCGAAAAGCAGCAATTGCAGTCTTTCTGCAATGCATGCAAGGGAATTCCTCAGGTTTAATATAATACATCCTTTCTCTTCAGAAGTTATGTTTGCAGTCATGTCTAGATCTGCTTGCTTCTTGCCAACTGAACGAATTTATTATATTCTTGATTTTTGTAACAAGGACTATGCTACCAGTGAAGACAGAGAACTGTTCTTTTTGTAATTAATGGAGTTAAAAAACTTATCTTAGTTGCTATACCACATTTTCAGGTCATGCATCCAGCATTTCCTTTCAGATCTCAAACTCCTGTGGTCCCTGCAACTGCTCCTTCGACCACAGAGGATGTTGAATTAGCAATGGCGATTAGTGCCTCTCTTCAGTCCGCTTCACAGCAAAGACCAACCTATCATGAGAATCACCTAGGATCAGGAACAGAAACATCAATGAATTGGATTAACCCTGTTGAGGTTGCCAGTCATAGTGATAGCTCTTTGACAGGGGCTTCTTCCCAAAAAGCTAGTAGTAGTGTCTGCCAGGTTGAGGAAGCCAGTTCAAGTGGCACTCAAGTTGAGCAAGTCCACACTTCTAGTGATACATCTACTGTTGTTGAAGCAATACAAGAGAATCCGGTTACTGAATCTGTCCCAACAGCTCCTCCTCTTACGGATGAAGTTATAGACAATGGGCCAATTCACTATCCATTGATCGACGCCAGCCCAGTTGACTTGGCTTCTCCGACTATTGAGAACTCTGGGGCACAAGAAAGCAGTAATCCTGATGGTGCTTCTTCATCTTGTGTAATATGCTTAGATGCTCCCGTGGAAGGAGCTTGCATCCCTTGTGGCCACATGGCTGGATGCATGTCTTGTTTGAATGAGATCAAGGGAAAGAAGTGGGGCTGCCCCGTCTGTCGTGCCAAGATAGATCAGGTGATAAGGTTGTATGCTGTTTAACAGTTGAAGCAGCAAATGACCAAAGCCTCAAATGTAAGCAATTCGGCAACCTCATCTCCTCTTTGCTTTTGTTTCATTCGATATAATAACAAAGTAAATATGTTGAATAATGTCATTCTCTCCTAGTATCAATTCGTCTTCTGAAACATAACCAAGTTTTGGGGTATTCCAACTTTTGGCTAATAGGCTCTTGTTTGAGTAGCTCTTGGTACTCCTCCGGAGTAGGGGTAAGGTCTGCGTACATACTACCCTCCCCGGACCCCACTTGTGGGATCTCACTGGGCTGTTGTTGTTGTTGTTGCTCTTGTTTGAGTAGCTCTTGTTTTTCTGCTGGTAGTGTATAACCTTTTGGGTTCGTTAGTGAAGGCATATACTATTATTATTTAGAGCCTTTTCCAGTTGGAAGGAATTGGGAGGGATGATAACTGGAGCCACGTCCTTATTGCCTATCGACTTTTGAGTTCTTCTGAACCATCTGTATTGAAATCCTGATTAAGCACTAGCTTTCCTGGTAACTAGAAAAAGGGAGGAAAATGTGCTTTGCTTTTGGGAATTTTTTTTTATCTACCATTGTACATTATAGACGTTCTTGCTGTCCTTCAAAAACATTTAGGAAATATGATCATTTTTGGAACTGATAGGTGTTTCCGCCATTCTATTCAAAATTATTTTCTTGTCTTAGAACATGTCCCTTCCTCAACATGTGTGCTTACGTCGAAGAGTACGTACGTATATATTGCAGACGAGTACCAGATATTCTGATTTGCTGAATGCATTTTCAATTTTTGATTAATCTTGAGTGAGACCCATTGAATATGAAGTAAATTAAAATAATATGTATTGCTGATTTGAAGACTTGATGGTTATGAATAGGAATGTACTGCAGATGATATATGTTACAAGATTCCTTACTGGCAGCTGACGAGCTATATGCTTTCTCAATTTGCAGGCATACACAGAAGTTTCTCTCTTGATAATTGTGAGTTTTGTATACATATATATATATATGCTAGTTGTGTTTAAGATTTTCGATCTGAAGCAAAATGCTATGGTTGCCTTCATAGTTTAATCTTCCCGGAGAATGTAAATTTACGTGTGCAGAGAACTGAGAAGTGAAACTCTTACTGGAATTACAGATGTAATAATACAATCCTGTGCATATATTTGTTCTATTGAGACCCTTAATATGTTCAGCTTCAACTTGGTCATTTTGTTACTCATATGATGGTGATGTTTATTCTACTTCAGTGCAGTATCCGCAATTTATTAAATCTTAGAAGGCACTATGATGGACAATTTACGTAAATAGTTCCTTAGTAAGCTTCCCAAAATGGGAGGTCTAGGGTTCGAAATTCACTTGCATACCTTCTCAGTCGAGCTCATCGTACGGACTTACCTAGTGCGGTTTACCTTCCTATGTGATTTGCGAGCTATTACATAGGAGCGGGTTACTCTGTGTGCACCCTTCGGGTAGCCTCAATCCAAGTGGGTCAGGTCAATTAGTTGATGGCACTAGTTTCAACTCTCTTTTTGTAAATTATTTTACTACTCGACTCTTGTAAAGAATTATCTTTGACGGATTATTTTATGATTTGAAAATCTCAATTTAAAACGAAGTATAGTAAACTTCAAAGTTCAATCTATTCATCTGAGCCTCTCTTATAGTACTTATTAACTACGTAAAGATAGAAAAAAAAAATGTATTGATTCAGATTTTATAATCAAAGAAAAACCTTGAGACGCTATTAACAATACAACTAAACAGGAAACGATTTTCTCGAAGCAAAAATAGAACAAAAGAGGATATTTGGCACTTATCACTTATCGTCCCGCCAAAAGTCAAAGGAATAATTGTTTGGTGATGGCGTTGACCAGAGGGATACCTAAATAGGATTTGGTATATATAATTTATTTAATTTATGTTTAATTAGAATTTGTAATTAGAATAATAGGTTTTTCTCTTTTTAGTTAAATTGGTTTGGTACTATTACGAAGAAAGGGCATTGATTGCTTATTTTATGTGTGAAGAATAGTGTAGTGATTTGTGGTGATTTTTAATAAAATATTTTCCTTCAACATTTAACAACAGGAGGAGATTTGAGAATTTCAACAAAGTCATTGACTTACCGGAGTTTCAAACTCGGAATTTTTATCTGTTGTCGTCGCCGGCGCCGGTGAAATGAGTTCGGCGAGGAATCTGATCAACATAAGTGAATTTACTAGAAAGATCGAAGTTGACAATCAAATTCCTATCCAATATTACTACAATATCGCTGATAACCTTCTCAAAGAGGTCCCATCATTCTCTCTCGATAACTCTTTCTATCTGCTAATACTTGTTTGCAATTGAGGTATAGTTTTATAAATTATCCGTTCCAATAGTAGGGATTGCTAATTTAAAATTGTCTGCACTTTGCTGTGTATATCTTTTGCCCATAAAATCTGTATACTACTTCCATTCACTAACTTTCATGTTTGTAGCCTTAGTTTGTATGTAAACAAAGATACAAAGAGTTATCAGCGAAAAAAAAATTGTATTAAATTGTTGATCATCTTGGATAGCAATTTTGTAATTCTTTGAAAGAAAAATGGAATTCAAAAACAGAAAAAACAATTTTTCGCCTCAATACTCGTATTCTATTAAAAGGACAGCCTAGTACACAAAGCATTCCGCATTCACGCAGGGTTTGGCAAGGGCCGTACCCTAAGGGATATGATGTAGATAACCTACCCTAAAGTTCGCATTAGTGACGACATCCACAACTTGAACCTGTAATCTATAGGTCATACAGAGATAACTTTACCGTTGCTCCAAGGCTCCCTTCACTACTCATTCTATTGAGTTACTGAATCTGAAGGAATAAAATAATATTCAACGGAGAAGTTCTTAATTCGTTCTTTCCACAGCCTTATCATGCATACAAAATCTCGGAGAGTCAAGTATTTTTCAGCACTTTCACTATTTTTCTTGTCAACCAAATGATAAAGTTAATTTTATAGTGAAATAGCTAAGGTTGACAGAATGTGAGGATTTTCAGGCAGTCCTTATGGGTAGCTAGGTAAGAACTCTGGCCAGATTCAATTTTCATGGGATTGTTACAAATAGCCGTCCAGATTCAATGTATACTTTTTCTAGCCGGTATACATAGATTATACATTGATTATACATAGTTATACATATATTATACATATATTATCTATCTGCCGTCTATTTTTAGTTTAAGATATTATACGGGCAGCTATTCGGGTTAATTCTTCAAAATTTTATAGCTTGATAAGCGAATAAACGCTAAATCTAACTATAGATGAGTACTTTAGATTGTTGTTGTTGAAAATTAAGATGATCTTATTATACTGCATGGCAATTTCTAGTTTGTATCTTCTCTCTTGCACCTGCCCTATGCATGTGAATCTTGGACATAGAATCAAACTATATAGGCAAGAAAATCATGTCATCTTTCGCTTGCCTTTTGGTTTCATTTCTATGTTCTTATTTATCCAAGTTTTTGTTTGGGAAGTGAAAAATGAAAGGGGTTGGTGAATGTGTGGGAGAGTTAACAAAATGGATGGTTGCAACATCTCTGCCATATTCATCTTATCAATTATATCGCCGACATAGAAACTCTAGAATTGTAGTAGAACCGTATTGCTGTGCGTGCTAAGCACCAGGTATTAACCGGACAAGGGTGACATAAGAAAATCTGATGTTCTGTTGGATGAAAATGGAAGAGGAAACAAGCAAATTCAATTGTAAAGTTTGATTAATGTGTAGTTTGATTTTGTCGATGCAAATGAAATGGCTGTTAGTATAACATCTGGAGAGACAAAGGCATACTCCTCTATTTCTAAACTCTATGCGAGTGTTAACAAGATTATCTGCCTTATTATATGGTGCTCGTTTAAGTACTATAAGTCTCTGTTTACACACCATTCCTTGACTTTGAGTTGGCGTACGAGCTTTATTGAGGTTAAACTTCTGCTTCATTTTCCTCTAGGCAAACAATCATCGGCAGGAGAACAATATCATAGATCTGTACATTCTGCTTCTCAGATACGCAGGGTAAACATATATTTCCATGTTGATAACTTCTTGAGGGCATATTAACACCTATATATGAGTAATTTGTTAAATATATGTGTTCGTGCTTTCAGTATTTTATCAGAAACTATACCTTTCCACCGAGACTACATTACTTCAAATGATACAGAAAAGAGATCTTACAAAAAGGTAATTAAGCAGTGTCTCTAATATCTAATTTGTGAAAGTTGCACCAGTTATGGATGTTAAATCATTAGTGTGATGTGATTTCAGAAATTACTGGATGTCATTCATGAGCTGGAATCCTTAAGGCCAGAAGTTGAAAGGGAAATTACTAAAGTGAACAAAGAACATGCATTGAAGGAACAGAATCGACTAAACAATCTGAGAAAAGTGCAAGATGTTTCACAGGCATCATCGTCTAGACAGCCGGCTGTTAGTAGAATGGCTTCCTTATGGCCAGTCAATAAGCAGGTAACAATTCTCCTAGAAAATTTTGTTTTATGTTTTCATTTTTGGCTGATGTATCCACTCAAACATATGATTTCTGCACAATAATTGTACATTGATTACAAATTGTGTCTTCTTTCTGCATAATTGTTTCCAGGCAAGGCATTCAAGACTGACTCTAACTATCCGTCGCCCTGTTGTCCCTGAAACTGTACCTTCAGCACCACCAATTGAAAATTTGGTCATAGATGATAATACCCCAGTCCAGTCTGGTTTATCTGAATCTAGTTTTGTGGATTCATCTTCTTCAACAACAGAGAAGTTATTGAAAAGACACGACGGAGGGAGTACTAATACTGCTTCATCATGTATAATATGCTTTGAAGCTGCAATTGAAGGGGCTTGTGTACCATGTGGCCATATGGCTGGGTGCATGTCTTGTTTAAACGAGATTAAAGCTAAAACCTGGGGTTGCCCTGTCTGTCTCACTAAGATCCAGCTGGTTTTACGTTTATATGCTGTTTAACAACTAAAGAAGGATACCTTGATGTAAATGTTTTTACCATTTATCTACTTTACTGTGTTCTGTATATTGTAAAAAAGGTAGCCCGGTGCACTAAGCTCCCGCTATGCGCGGGGTCCAGGGAAGGGCCGGACCATAAGGGTCTATTGTACGCAGCCTTACCCTACATTTCTGCAAGAGACTGTTTTCACGGCTCAAACCCGTGATCTTCTGGTCACATGACAACAACTTTACCAGTTATGCCAAGGCTCCCCTTCCATACAAATGTCAGTGTCCAATTTCTGGTTCTCAGCTTCCTTATTTTTTTTTTTACCATGTTGCAGAAGTTGGCAATGTGGATAAAGTCAGTGTCCAAGTTCTGGATGCCTTTCTCAGATATCTTGTGTGTGTTTTTTTTACCATGTTGCAAAAGTTGGCAATGTCGATCAAGTTTAATACTCCAATTAAGGTAATCTATTATTGACAATTTCGTCCCAACTTCTTTCACCGTAAAAGAATATAATATTCTAGATTCACATCTTGTCTCAAACAAGAGAAAGAGATTGGTTAATTGTATACGTCCACACATTATCAATAGCTTATGATTAGTAACAATTTTTATTTTTTTGTGATTAGTTAAAGAAAATTGTTTAGAGAAGATTAAATGTATCGGAACTTAAATTTGAAAGACGATTTATGCTATCGAAAATATTACTATAAGAATATATGTTGTTACCACGTCTACTTCTCCATCTTTACTCTAAAAGCCAGAAACCATTCTTTTTTGGGAGCGATCCTTAGATAGGCGTGGATGGAACTTTTTTTTGACTAAGCTTGTTTGGATGGTTATTAGGTAGCGTTTCATAATGTAATGTAATGTATTGTATTTTATTGTATTTTTTTGACATATACATTGTTTAAATAAATTGTATTATTTATCGTCGTTTCATGATATCATACACTAACAATATGAAGAATAAACTTGCAATATTATAAAGAAAAAGTAAGATACAAGATAAAATTATTATATAAAAATATTGGGTAAATGATAAAATATGATTATTTAATAATAAGGAAAGGGCAAGATGAGAGAAAAAAAAAAGGTAACTGACGCTACCACACAAAATCGATCGTTCTATAAACTGACACTTTTTGTGGTTATATAACGACGGATTTAAAGATACAATACAATAAAATATAAAACAATCAAAATAAATATTATATTTAAAGTAACAATAAGATACAATAAAACAAATAATAACCGTCCAAACAATAAGTAAAAATAGAGTTTAACAGTAAAGTTCTTTGATTGCTAAATATAAAAGCGAAGTTTACTGCACATCCAATCTCGGATTGTATATTGAAACTTGAGTTTAAATGGCGATTTTATGAAGTTTCTTTAACTGATTTTGATTGCATAATACTGATTTTTTATATTATACTATAATATATGTCCTCAATAATAATATTTTACTATATTATTAAAAAAATATCAGAACAAACGCGATTGTTATACAGATTCAAGTTTGTTAAAATTTGAGATGTCTAGTGAGCTAGAACTTCAATATATTCTTTTTCAACTCTTACTTTACTTAAATATTGTCCAAATACCTTATATTTTGAATTTAATAAATTCAGTAATATTTCAAATGTTCCAATGTCAAATTCTCCATGCTAAAAATGTCAAAAAAGGGATGAGAAAAAAAAAGAAAACAGAACCAAAGAAGGGACTGACCCAGACAAGACAAGGCATTAGGCTAATGGGCCCACAATGACACAGACAATACAACAACCTTATCACGGCCCAGAATTTTATCCACATAACATCAAAGATCGTGAACTACACGCTTTCGACCGGACCAAACCCGTTTTGGGTCCATATTCAACATTAAACCAACCAATTAGAAATTTTAAACTGTACCTATTTGGGCCGACATGAGCCTCAGATGCCCACGTGCACTGGACAGGTATTGTGGGCCCAACATTGGACTTTATGTCTAATCAAATGGGTCAGCTCCAGTGGAAGTGATAGTGCAATCAGGACATCAGGTAGTACTACCAGTTACCGGCAACGAAAAAAGAATAGGGAAATTTACTTTATATAGTCACTCTAAAAGTAATACCTAGCAAAAAGTAAGTATATTTTTGTATATTAAAGATTAACAAACATATTTTATATATAATACGTGTATATTTTTGTATATTTGACTAACGAGTATAATTATTTTTGGCCGACTAACAAATACTCAACTTGCTCAAAAAAAATAATGCTACAAAATTACTAGGTTCACCTATATGAATTTTTCTCTTCTATTATGCCCTATTTTATTTTGGTAGTTGATGATAGGAGTGTTAATGATTCCGTTCGGTCGGTTTTTTATAAAATTTATACTATACCAGTTTTTCGGTTATTCTATTTTATATATATAACGAAAATTAGACTTTTAAAAATTATCCCAATCATCTCGGTTTCTCTTCGCATCGGTACGATTTGGTCCATTTTTTGGTATTTTTTTAAAAACATCATGCAGGAATTACTAGTCAAAGTTAGAATGCGATAAGCGTGTACTTGCATTAGGGGCGGCTCAAGCACATATGTTGCCTAAAGCCAAAATTTAATATGAGGCCTAAATTTCTAAAAGAAATTTATGATATATAGTTTATTTAAGGTCTATTTTTCTGGCTTTTGAGATGCAAATGTTAATGATTTTTTAATAATCGATTTCTTCTAATATTTTCTTTCACTTGATAATATAACCAACACATCTAATCTTTCTTGAGACATTGTTAATCTTAGGTAAGATGTTATCAATTATAATTTTGAAAATTTTCTTTTGTTTGAGGCAACTGTTATAAAAAAAAATACTTTTGTACTAAAACTATTAAATATTATTTTTAAAAATATCTATAAATCTATAATTTTTAAAAATCGTGAGCCCCTAAATTTGGGAGCCTGAGGCACAAGCCTTACTTGTGGTAAGGTTAGAGCCGGCCTTGACTTGCATAGGACTTTAGAAAAACTCTCTTGACATTTTTACTATTTTAAAAGGGCCGATCAAAGGAATACATGAAAGATGTCCAGAATAGAGATTCATCCCATTATTCTATATATGGTAGCATAGAACAAATTAAGCAGGAATAAGATAATATAAATTATACGAGTGGATAATAATCAAATTTGAACTCAAGAATAGAGCTTATTAGAAGATTAGTATCCAACAATAGAAATCTAAACCATACGAGAGGAAAGATATCCAATACTATGTGGTTTGCTGTTGAAGATCGATGGAATACTTAGTGGCTTGCTAGTTAAGATATTAGAACTAATTTAGTTTCGACATGAATAACAGAAAATGTATGGAAGTTGGGACTTTGGATATTAATTAGTTGGTCACCTGTAGCCATTTTTATAACCCCTTTGCTAGTTTTAAACTTAGTATATAAAATATATTTTCATATATAAATTAATTCGGTACAATTTGATATTTTTTTGGTTTATTTTTATAAAATTAAAAACTTACCTTATTATTCGGTACGGTTATAATTTTATATAAAATCTACGGTTTTATTTAAAAAAAATTAAAAATCGATTCGGTACAGTTCAATTCGATTGGTTTAATTGGTTTTTAAAGATTCATTAACACCCCTAGTTGATGATATGAGTTGAGATATTCATATAGCCAATGCCAACTTGAGATAAAAGGCATGATAATTCATATCGCTAACCTCAGCTTGTTTGGATTTAAGGCGTAATTGCTATTGTACGAAGGAGTGTGGTGAAAATAATAAAGGGCCATTTGGTTTGGGGGGCTAAATTGAATTCTCGGTGTAAATTTTTAAATTAAATCTGTCTTATGTTCAGTTGAGTGTGCTACTTAAAAGTCAGGATAAATTTTAAACTACAATCATCAAATTTTCTATCCTATATAAAAGGTAGAATAGAAAATCCCGATCATTATCCTTGCAATAATTCTAGAATTATATAATATCCGTATTATAATCCTAGTTAGCAGTATAATTCATGGATAACCTGATTTTAAACCAAATAAAAGATATTTAAAGTCGTTCCACTCTTTGTTAGAGTGTTGAAGTTTAACTTTGGAAAGAAATTTTTTGAGTAACGAGTGTATTGTCTTTTCAGTAAGCGTATTTGATACTATGAATTAAATTATTTAAGTGAGTAAATTACCAATACTGAATAATTAAATAAAAAGGTTGCACTGCCCTTCTTTTTTTTTAAAAAAATCTTTTTCTTTTGTGTTTGAATTTAAATCTTTTAAGAAAATATTTTTTGACTGGGTCTAGGCTCATACCAGGAAGGATTCTCGTACCTGTTTCCTTTTAGACAAGAAAATGTATGGATTTGAGATTCTTTTTGTGTATGTGCTGAAAAGTCGACGAAAATGACAGATTCACCTGTGGCTTCTGCTATTTCTTGCTGTTTCCGTTGTCCTGTTGCCTTTCTTGAGTTTTAACTTGTTTTCACTTACTTTTCTTTACAACTATGAGACGGTAAATATTTATCTGTATCAGTGTTTATACCTAACTAAATAATTAACTTTATAAATAAATAAATAAAAATAAAAATGCGTATTATTTAATCATAATTAAGTGTAAATAAAATATATGCAAGACACATATCTTATATTTACTGACTTGATATAAATATTCGATGCGGGTAAGTTTTTATCCGATTTATGTAGATGTGCCATTGTGCATCCATGAACCTATTACTAACTTAATTTTACAACCAAAAAATACGTGATAAAATATCACACTAGAGACAATGTTGGCATGGTTAATTGATGTTTATATTTTAGTCATAATTAATACACTAACAAATAACTACAACAGCAAAGATGAATGTGCTTAAAAGCCCTTAATTAACCGTAGACTTTTGTTCCTTAATTTCATTTAAAGTTTTTCTACATGTAAAATAGGTGCACTAAATACTTTTTAAGTGGACAAAGTTAAAGAATTATCCCTGAATTCCAAAGACTTTGGCCTAATTCAATCATGACGACGTTGCGTTCTTTATAAATAAATAAAAGGTACGCCTTCTATTTTCAATTTATATATCAAATTAAA